GTGCTACAAAATCCCCAGAACGCCTCGTGTTAACATGCTACACTTACCCCGATAGAGCTCCATTCCGATCGACGAGGAATTCAACTTGAGATTCACCAGTAAAACGATTACGGGCTGCTACACTGATAAAGAACGGCCAAACGCAAAAGGCGTGGCCTTTTCAGTGGCTTTTCACCATGAAGAATAGCTGAGAAAGGATTTGCTGCCCTGTGAAACATCAGTTTTCCTGCTACGAAACATCCTACTCAGAAGGAAAACAGGCAGAGCATGAACTTGACCCTCCCGCAGGGCAGTCCAGGTCAGAAGGGGCTGGTGACTCACCCAAGGGCTGTGGTTCGTGGTCTGCTCAAGGTTTGAGCAGGTGGAACCACCACCATGCCCATCTGCAGCCCAACAGTCAGTTGCTCTGGGCAAGAACACAAAGCCAACCACAGCCAGGAGGCTCTTCCAAGCCACTGGCAGCAGTAGGTGACAGCGAGGGACAGTTAACAGTTTTCTCCCAAAGCAGAGAAACTTCCCTCCTAGAAAATGGGTCCCTCCCTTTAGTTTAACTTAGGTAGAACTCACTGCGTGAGTGATACTGTCTTGTGGGGCTTGGAAATAATCTTTGTGGCTCCAACAAATTCCTCCGAGGGTTCGAGCTCCAGCCGTTGTGCATCACAGCTGTGCAAAAAGGACATTCCCACAAGTGAGGAAAAAGTCTACCCCACCACAAACTGGGCTCTGACCCCAACTCATTTCACCTTAACCCAGTACAACTCAGAAGCACAAGAACTAGGAAATAAACAAAGGGTATTTCCATGGGAACTATGAATGTTTAATATGGAAAATTACAGAACATCAACACGGTTTTTGCATGGCTGCACATCTTCCACAAGGACAGAGGCAGTGACACACTGACGCTCAGCTGCTGCCTGGAAGCCGTTTCATTTTTACTTGGCATGGAGAATGAACGGGCAGGAAGCAGTACTGCGGATCCAGGAACCGCCAACACGCACTGTGGAAGCAGATGGACGATTACTCCTGCCTTCACTTCAGGTTCTTAAAGAGTTTGTGAGCAACCTGAAAAGATGAGACAAAGCACTCAGTAATTCAGAGTTTACGGCTGGAAATCAGCAGAATGTTACCACCCACCTCTTGGTTTTCTGGGCCATTAATGCACATGGCCCCACAGACCTTGGCTCTTCCCATTGTTTTGCAGCAAGTCATTCAGGAAAACTAACAAGCTGAGATTTCTTACAAAATTTCACCTCAGGTTAAAAAGATTTAGCCTTAAAATGGCAAACGCAACACTGAAATAGCAGAGTGCCATTTGCAGGGCAGAAACAATGCGTTTGACTTATTCCAGTGTTTAATAACCTACCAAATCCCAGCCGGAACTGTTGCAATAAGGAGGAACCAAACACTTAAAAAGCATTAAGGCTCACAGTTCTTCAGAGCTTACTGTGACTGAGCAGCTACCATGTCTCTCACTTGAACTGCCTGCACTCTCAGCTAACGGCAGCTCTGCTCCCAGCACCAGCAGGGACATTGCATCCACTTACACAGTGGTCCCTGGCATGCAGGAAGTCAAAAAGCTCCTCTGTGCACTGCTCTTCTGTCTGGGACCTGGAGGACACCCGCGCATCGCACAGCTCCCGCGCCTTCACGCATTTCTCCGTCTGCTCGCAGTGCTCCCGGACCGTGGTTAGAGGATCCTGCAGACACGGGGCTGCTGTGAGAACAGGGAGGCCCCGAACGCCGCTTTCCCCCGAGACCCGTTGCTTTAAGGGGGAGCCGCACATCCCCACCTAACCCGGAGCCAGGCG